CTAGCTCACAGATTCAACCCGCTTTTACTAGTGGTGTGACGGATAATCGATTATTCGAATTTCCTCGATCTCTTGGACCTCAACGAATAATCGATCGCATAAAATCTAGGTCGAACATTCGAAAATTTGAATACTCACGGGCGGGCGAAGTCTGTGAGCTGCATACCGCGCGGGCGACTCTAGTCTGGATCTCTCGACTTGAATGCATAAACGTTGTACTGTGTTGCAGACAATGACTAGACTACACCCGGTAGACCATGGTATACTCTACTCAGACTCTACTCAGACTCTACTCAGACTCTACTCAGACTCTACTCAGACTCTACTCAGACTCTACTCAGACTCTACTCTGACTCTACTCTGAGACTCTACTCTGACTCTACTCTGACTCTACTCAGACTCTACTCAGATTCTACTCAGACTCTACTCAGATGCTACTCAGATTCTACTCAGACTCTACTCAGACTCTACTCTGACTCGAGTCTGACTCGAGTCTGACTCTACTCAGACTCTACTCAGACTCTACTCAGACTCTACTCAGACTCTACTCAGACTCTACTCAGACTCAACTCAGACTCTACTCAGACTCTACTCAGACTCTACTCTGACTCTACTCTGACTCTACTCAGACTCTACTCAGACTCTACTCAGACTCTACTCAGACTCTACTCAGACTCTACTCAGACTCTACTCTGACTCTACTCTGACTCTACTCTGACTCTACTCTGACTCTACTCTGACTCTACTCTGACTCTACTCAGACTCTACTCAGACTCTACTCAGACTCTACTCAGACTCTACTCTGACTCGAGTCTGAGCGCTTGTGTTGTGTGTTTGTTACATGTACATGTACACATTGCATTCGCAATAGTAATTCTTGATAATTGTCACGATAATGAATTTTCTTGTGGAATACTAGTAGTAGAATAATCGTTCGTTCGCTTGAGTGGTATTCACTAGATTATTCGTTTGTAAAATAATATTCATGGTCCGTTACATCATTAATTTTTACCAAGTATCACAGTGCACTGAAGGTGGACTGTAGTTTCTATTGCTCATCGGGTGGTCACCTGGTAGATCCACATTTTTCAATGATGCATGTACATGTACATGTACATACAAATAAATGTCAGTACAGTATTCGTTTCCTGAATGTGTAACAGTCCCTCCAATGCGTGGATGAATGAACGATGGCATGGGTAAGATTCAGGCTGAGTGAACCATCCGTATGCCACGGCCATTTCGTATGCCCTTGCACCCTACCCAAGACCAAGTACATACTAGTACTTGTATAACTACTGGAGACCTGTGCTTATAATAGGGCTTGAAAGTGATGACGTCAAAATGGCCAGGGAGTAGTAAGTTGACATCAGATTTCTATTTTTGGATCCACTAAGGTGTGACTTTGCTATTGCCTATGTATGTGGGTGCATAGCAACCCACTCATGTCGCATGCAGGTGTGACTTTTATTTCGCCACCAGTTGTAACCCCGCCCCCAGTAGCCAAATCAGTCAGTTTCACTGGCTACATCACCATGCTGTGGGTAAGACCGCTTGAAATGTGCTTGGATCCATACAAAAACTGGATCCAAGTGGATCCAGTTTTTGAATTTTTGAAATTGTTGCTATGCTGTGACGTAGCACTTTCAAGCCCTATACTAGAGAATATGCGGTATGCCCATATGCCATGTGCGTTTCACGTTTTGAGTGAGTGTGATGGAGCTCCGGAGGCTGATTTTTGCATGTACATTAGGCATCGGCGGCTAATGCTCGTTTTTTCACAGTATAATGCTTTTGGCAGTGCTCGATATTTCACGGCATAATGCCTGTTATAATGCTCCATTCACACTATAATGCTCCACCATCTGGTGTTACTGTGTGACTTCAGTGATACACCGGTTCTCGTTTTCCAGGCCAGTCGTGCCGCTGGGCTCTTTGCAAATAGGCTCACCCACCAGGTTGCGAACTCAGCCAGGATAGGTGTTGCAAAGCGGCGGCCAACATTGTCCAGGGCATGGGAGGCGCAAAGGACGTCCATAGCTCTGGGAAAGAAGAGGTTCTTAACCTGGTCCACAGCAACACCGTTCACTGCTGCTCCATCTCGAACAAATGCAACAAGTTTGCCATCTGCCAGTTGGAAAGTTGTGCTGAGGCAAGTTGCAAGCTCGCGTGCCAGCTCCAAACCAGTCATGGACTTAGCCAGCACATGCAAACGCACTAAACGTTGCTGCACTTGCCAGTCGTCATCCAGGAAACGCACTGGAATGGCAACGGCCTCTCCAAGGTATGTTGTTCCGTCAAAAATGACAGCAATGTGCCGGGCCTACTTCACTTCTTCCTTCAGTTTAGCTTTCTCTGGTTCCAACAAGAAAGGTATAATTTGCGCCAGATGGGTGCTGAACGTCAACCTGGAGTTGTTGGCCTCTAGAAGGGGTCGAAGGTAGTCCACCTTCGCTAGTGGTATGCCAGCCTTCAACATCGCTTCCACAACGTTCGTGCGTCTCATGATGGTGGAGTCATCCATAGCCGTACTGAGGCCGGTGCCCTTCAACTTCTCCTCGTGCTTTTCCTGGTACTTCTTCCAGGAAGTTGTCAAAGTTGCCTGGTGAGCAGCCGCCTTTTTCCTTTGATCCTTGGCTCGACGATGGCGATCTGTTGAAATGTGGCCCTTTACGATGCTCTTCTTTGGCATCACAACAGTGTGACAAGCGTCACAGAACAGCTGTCCGGCTGATATACACAAGTGCTCCCCTGGGAACTCTTCAATCCGTTTGGCGGAGTTGACGCGAGACACCGTCGTAGATGCCCCTCCTCGCACTCTTGTTCTGTTTTTTTTTTGGTTTGGAAGACCGTTCAAATGACCTGGGCCGGGATATTGCTGCATCCTTTGCTTTGGGCTGCTCACATTCCTCTTCCTCTGTTTCCTCATCGGAGTCATCACTTAACTCCATTGTATCTTCATAGTCACTGTCCATGGTCGCTGCAAAACAGCAGCAGCTAGGTAAACATCCAACGCGACCACACGACACTCAACAGATGCAAGAGAGCCGTTTTCTTTTGAGCTTTGTAGTTTGTGCAGCTCTCTGCTCTGCGCCGAAAGAGCACACAGAGATCTCGAGAAACCTGTTTGCGCCAGGTCAAAGTGCATACGCGAGCACAAAACGGACACAGGATATACCCACACATACACGGTACTAGAATGTGTACAGTTCGAGTACACTACCGCTAGTCGGTACTAGACTGTAGTCAGTACTATACATCATTGTACAGTCCTGCCAGATGAAATCCGAAGCGTCACAGTATGTACAAGCCTCTTGTCATGTGAAAAGACGTGTAAAAAGTCTTGTATTGTACCAAAATAGAACTGATAATGCTTTCTCCAGCCAAAAACATGCCACCTAATGCCGAGCACTGCTACTTCTTCAAAACACCCATATAATGCTAGTTATAATGCTAGCATTAGCCGCCGATGCCTAATGTACATGCATAATTATGATACATACTCACATAGTTACTCGATCTGCGGACAGCATGCTGTTTCGCGTTCTTTGTGAACTCATCAGCGCAGAAAATGAGGCCGAACCTGATAGCAATGAAAATAAAATTTCGAAAGCCAGATTTAAATCAGGCCCGGACGCTACTACCGTAAAATCCCGCCAGAGCGCCCCGTCTCTCCCATCCGCCCCTCCCTGACTTCTTGTCAGGGGCGTGATTGATTGTATCCTGGTATGACTCTGTCGCAGTCTGTGATGCCGTACTGACTACTGACTGTACTGCAGACGCGTGCTCAACCCCGTTGGAAATGTACGCAACAGTGCCCACCCTCTTGACCAGGGATCGCACAAACCCTGCGTTTTGTCGGGTCTGTACGACTCCTGGCTCTTGACCTTTGGTCGGTGTACGAGATGCACGAACAGTTTTCGTAGGGTGAGTACTTTTTCATGTAGCACTGAATGCGGCAAGTAGGACTCGCCCATCCGCCCCTCCCCACCTGAAACGTCGAGGAGGTAGGGGCGCTCTGGCGGGATTTTACGGTAACAATAATAATTATAGTTCTAGAGGAGCTACCCGCATATCCAGCTCATACATGTGCTTCAAATGAAGAGTAAGCAATGGTGAAAGTCAGGAGCACTTTTTTTAAACACATAACAGTGTGTTGTCCTTGTGACTTGCTGTCAAACTAATTACTTTCACCATAAACTCCATTGGCGATCTACTGAGTACGTGCTAGGAACTCATCAGACCCCTCAGCCAACTCAGGTAGATTCCGACACTGTTCAGCTTTGGCTTTTTCATGCGTGTACAAGCCGTACACAGTTGTAACGCGGATCGGAAGTATTCGGAACACAGGACACGCAGTTACGCGCGCGTATACGCATTCCTTTGGCGGCACCAGATGATTGGTACATGGTAGATCTACATGATATCATGACAGAGTCAGAGGCTGAGCTGAGCTCAACAAGACTTGTGTGGGCAGTTTTGGGGAGCACTTCGGCGCGGCCCAGTTCGGGTCACTCACTTGCGCGTAGAGACTAGAGTGAGTGCAGCTGCGTGTAGCAAACCATGCATGGCGCGGATCGGTGCTGATTCCTGACCTGGCCTGTGACCATGGTGACAGAGTGAACAAACATCATGACTGTGCAGTGCCACGAACACCGGAACGGTAGGTCCGACTCACCTGTCGCTAGCGCTAGCGCTCTACAACTGTAGTTTAGAGAGAACATCTGCATCAGATCTGGCTGTTACCGAAGCTGCTGCCAGTAGTTCAAACTGTTAGTGCAGGCTGTGCCAGTGTGTGCACCGTCGACGTCGGCGGATGGAAGGAAAATACTTGGAAAGAGGTTTTGATTGACCTGCGTTTGAAGATGTAGGCAGGAGATTTGTAGCGAGAAGTGATCCGAGGAATGGTCGGCTCAGACTCGTGTCATCATGGTCATTGCAGCTGTCGAGTGTCGTTGACCAATAACAGAACGGTGCCTGAGAGAAATTAGGTTATGAGAATGGTGTATGGGGAATACATCGGCTACTATTACATGCCCACAGCGATCCCGCTGGAGCTGATGTCGCCGAAAGGCTACAGGAAGGCGAAGGAAATTATGATCGAGCGGGCGCTACGCCAGTACAAGCAGCGACCAACTGGCGGCGACCCTGTACGTGTGTCGATCGACATGAAGGAACACGCGGCGGGCGATACGCGGTTAGTAGTATTCTCTCCGAGTCCATCCAGCGAAGAAACAACAGCAATGTACAAATCGAAAACAAAGCGCCGTAACACAATTGCAAGTCCGGGAATCATGACGGCCGCCGCGGCGAAACGGCCGTCCATGTCCGACATGTCAACGTCTTCCACGTCACCGACCGTACCGGGGAGCGGTGACGAGCTGGATGGAATACGTTACTGCTGTGTTCGAGCTGCTTGTTTGCTCCTCGCTGCGCACGCGGCAAATTTGTTCACATTTGTGGAGCTGGAAGATGTACGAACCCCTACTAGCACAAGAGTTCAAACAACACTGGGAAAACCACAACCCAATACTGCACGCATACCACTTGTCATTTGTCACGTGTTTTGCTGCAAGAGTCGTAAGGACGCCCAGTTCTTGGTCAAGGCAACGCAAGACATAGCTCTACCACTTTCTCAGGACTCGTTGAGCGGCACGGCTTCACAGAAAAGGGAGGCATGCGCCGATTCTCTGACGACTGCGAGCCATGACTCGTTCTCGCAGGCGTCCTCCTGCGACGAGGGTGAGGGCGACTCGAGCTCGGACAATCTGCGTCAGAGATCATCCTCTCCGACTTCACTGACTAGCTCCAGCACAACGTCCAGCTTGCAATCAATGGATGTGGCCACCGTGCAGAACCGGATCGACAAGAAATTCCGCGACATGGGCCTCGTGTCGGAGTCTATTAGTGTTGACAATGACGTCACTGCCTCGGAGAATCCCAGTGAAGACGAAGAAGACGCCGGAACACCGACTGCACTCAGCGGCGACGAGGAGAGCCTGGCTTCGCAAAGCGAATACTGGTTCCAAGCGAATGAAGCAAGTGAAGATGGGGATGCCACCTTGAAGTCAGCCGCATCAGGACATGATCATAGGCAGTCCCGAACAAGGACTATATCACTACCCGCCACACCACGACGGCTAGTATCAGGATCAGCAAGCTCAGCATCCACCCAGGAGCTTGGGGAAAGCCCCTCATCGTCGTCATCATCAAAACCCATGCAGAGCAAAGCCTCCCTGTCCCGCAAGGGCGCGCGGAGAAGACGTGTCAGCAAACCAACGCAAATCGCAACGCCCGATGGACCCCTAGTGCCGTCTGACGCGGTGCCATCCCTGGAAGGTTGGCTAACACCATCCAATAGCATGGCCAGCGTAGATGGTTCATACGTGGCTCATAGTCAGACGAGGCCTGCACACAGCTTTGACGTGAAGCGGCAGGGTTCTGCCAGTTCGGCAAGTTATTTAACCGTGACCAGTGGTGACTATACGAGTACGGGAGAGAATGCGGCCTCCGCCACTTCTGAGCAGTATGTGATGGGCACGCCTGTCCACCTGTTGCATTACCTGGGGTAGAAGAACCTTTGAATCGGTCTGTAACCGCTGAGACATGACCATAGACGTGTGTGTGTGTGTGTGTGTGTGTGTGTGTGTGTGTGTGTGTGTGTGTGTGTGTGTGTGTGTGTGTGTGTTTGCGCACTATAATTATGAGTGTGAGGACAGCACGGTGCTTTCAATCCCTGTGTAAACACACTGCAGACAATGTCAAACTGTGTGCAAACTGTGTGCATATTCAATGATGACACACACATGGCACCGGCATCCTGGTATAGCCGTTCAAATCACGCTCAGCAAAGAATAAGCCACACTTTGGGTGCAGTCCATTCGACCCTTGAAAGGCTTTATCAAATATTGGACCACTTTGTGTGTCTTGTGCACGGCACAATATTTTTGAGACTTTGTTCCTAGGAAAGAAACTTGAATTCTGCATAATGTAATAGGTTACATTTTGCTGTTTCGCTTAGCCTTGATCTAGAATTTGATCTTATATTGCTGTACAGCTTTGAACTTCAATTGCATCTCTGTCCAGATAACTTGTACCTTTCTGAAATGCTTCTACTTGATTAACTCCTCATGGCCGAAAATCTGGTGGTACTTTGCGACGTCAGAGACCATGGTGGCGGTGGTCGGGTGGTTGTGGTGATGGTGTGTTTGATCGTTGAGGGATGCACCTTCCTGAAAATGATCGTTTGAGAATTAATTTGAAAAAATGTGCAGATCTTGACTTTTGTCACAGTCTACCTCTACTTATCTTTGCATGATATGCAATCATACTGGCTATATATGTAGGACTCAGTATAGAGTCCATGCACTATATGATGTCCAGCACCCTATATAGAGTCCATTGGTCCAAAATCCACTATACAGAGTCCAGAAGTCCACTCTGTTTTGATCAGCTTCATCCTGCCGCGCAATAGGGCTTGAAAGTGATGACGTCAAAAACGGCTAGGGAGTAGTAAGTTGACATCAGATTTCTATTTTGGATCCACTAAGGTGTGACATTGCTATTGCCTCAGTATGTGGGTGCATAGCAACCCACTCATGTCGTATGCAGGGGTGACTTTTACTTCGCCACCAGTTGTAACCCCGCCCCCAGTAGCCAAATCAGTCAGTTTCACTGGCTACATCACCTTGCTGTGAGAAAGACGGCTTGAAATATGCTTGGATCCATACAAAAACTGGATCCAAGTGGATCCAGTTTTTGAATTTTTGAAATTGTTGCTATGCTGTGACGTAGCACTTTCAAGCCCTATCCCCTATAAGGAGTACACTTTCTCTACAAGTCCCCTATTCACGGTCCAGGACTCACAGCATTCACGGTCCAGGACTCACAGCAGAAGTCCAGTTTATCCAGTCACGCCGTCCTCCTGTGTGTTGTGCCCGAAAAAAAACACCTTTTCAGTTTTGCTTGCCTCGTGGCAGCGCATTCCTTTCTTCACTTCAGCCATGGCTGCCAGTTCTGCTGTGCAGTTGCTGACAGTAATCTGTCTCGAGGTAACCAAGGAGGATAAGGAGACGTTCAAAATCAAATCTGGAAAGCGTCTTGTGGTTCTCTGAAGACGTTTCATCAGTGCGCGGGATGAAAGCAGAAATTGCAGAACGAGAAAAGTTCAGCACAGTTCGAATCTGACGAGTCAGGTACACTGACACTCTCTTTCGTTCGACGCCACAAGGAACCCCTGTTTGGCTGGCCATTGCTGCCAGTAAGACGTTTGAACGGTTTCATCAGAGCGAGGGATGAAAGCAGAAAGCGGAGAACGATAAAATTTCAGCACAGTTCCAAAATCTGACGAGTCAGATACACTGACACTCTCTTTCGTTCGACGCCACAAGGATACCCTGTTTGACTGGACAAGAGCTGCCTGTACCACCGTGTCAAAAGGCTGTCCAACTACATGGCAGGACGATGACTGAGGTAAGGAAGCTTTTACTCGTTTCGATTGGTCTGCTGTTCTGTCGTTATGCTTGAATTTTTTTACACTTTCAAAGAGCGTATCGCTTTTGTTTGATGTTGCTTGAATGAATGCCCTAAAAGTAATCAACCACTTCGTAATAGTCCTCAAGGACTGCAGGCGCGTACGCAGGGTCACCTCTAGGGGGGTTTCCAACTAAACCGAATTACAAACAATGTGTTCTTTTTTACCTTTTAAAAAATTTCAAAATTATGCATTGTTCGCGTTCCTTGGATCATAACTTCAGTTCTACTCACTCAATCTTCATAATCTTGGGCTTCCTGGAAGTGGAATGGTATCCACGAGAGAAAGGGAATGAGGTCGACCATGATAGCCAGGACACTGCAGGCAGGTAGCACCGCCGTTGGTGGTGGTCTGGGTGTATGGGGGTCGGGGGTGTCCCCCGGGAAAATTTTGAAATTAGGGAGCAAAATCCTGCACTCTGGGCACTTTTGGCATTGGTCCGGAACAGCCGGACCAGCTGCTACGCTGCTGCACTGTACCTGTATCCATAGAGTGCAGCAACGGTGCAAAAATGCCCCAAAGGCCCAAACGCATCCTGCTCCAGCGATTTCGTTTTTCTCGATCGCAGAGTTTCGATTGTTTTGCTGTGTACTCTTGAGAATATCACAAGTGAAGCCCCTGCAAATTTGAGCAAGTCAATGTGACGAATAGTCTCAAATTCTCGATACTCAAGTTGCACTGCGCGCTTTGGAAATTGCCGGGATCGCGGCTCAACTAATGAATGCTATATCTCAAGAACCATTGCTCGCAGCGCTTCGCGGATTGTTTCTACCGACAGCTGAGAATTTTCTATTCGACCTGGATATTTGGATCGTTGGAATTGAGCCAGATTTGACTGAGTTACGATCTGTTGAAGTTTGCATTCTTGTCAGATCAATCGCACGCCCTACCAAAATGTGCCCAAAAATGTTGCTCGTTTGGAACATTTGGGGGGTTTCCGGGCAACGGGAAACCCCCTCTGTGTACGCGCCTGGACTGCAAGGACTTTGCATCAAGATCAATCGTATACGATCGTCTAGCTATCATCAATTATTATTTTATTTCATGAGAAATGTATTTTTATCCCTGTGATAATTATGTGAACTCCACGACACTCTTCCTGTTGTAGGCTCTAGTATGATGTCAAATACAATAGGATCCACAAACGCAGTGCCAGTGTACTAGTAGTAGTAGGAGGAGGATTTCTTGTATGCCGATGACAAGAAAAAGCTTCTCAAGCTAATACATGTACTCGTATTCCATGAAGTACAAGTAACCGTTTTGATGTCACAAACATGACATTGTGTCAGTGAAACTGCCTCGTGACAACAAATCATTGCATTTCCATCTTGGGGAAGACTGACTGACGGCAACGCTGTACAGATTGTTCAAATCATCTCATCAATTTAGTTGCAGTGAAGTGAAACACTGTGTACACTACATGTATGGTGGTGTGTTTGTGCGTCTTGAGTGTGCACAAACGATCTTATTCCTCGTATTACTAATAGATTATTGTCCCCACCGTCACCTGTTCACAGGTCTTTGAGTGGATGGATTTTCATTGAGCATCACATTCGTTACTTGGTAGTTGTGTGGTCCCATGCATCATTACGGTAATAAGCGTATCCTTGTGCAATCTATTTGTTGCAGGTGTGCTGATCTTCAGAAGCTTGTGGAACTGAGTGCTACTGAACATTTGCATGGCCATGAGCAATGGTGAAGCTTGCTATTGCACTCTCAGCATGTGCTAGTATTATGCTGACTACTGCACTATGTTACTCTCTTACACTACTACATGTATGTAAACGTGCGTGCATCCGCCCACGTATGCATTCGTTTCGTATAATTATTTGTTATCCCTCTTGACTTTACGTGTAAATGGGTGGACGTTTGCATGGCTGTTGGAGTTGCGTGTGTATTGTGTCTCTACTCTTTTCTTGGTGTTTTCTTGGCGTTGTATAAGTTTGTGTGTGTGTGTGTGTGTGTGTGTGTGTGTGTGTGTGTGTGTGTGTGTGTGTGTGTGTGTGTGTGTGTGTGTGCGCGCGCGCGCGCACAATAATTTGAAAACAAATAATTAATCCTTGGCTCTCCATTATTCTTTTTCGATTCTTGGTTTTTTTCTAGGTATTTTCTTGGGGTTGTGTGGGTGTGTGCATGTGTGCGTGTGTGCGTGGACAATAATTTTGCAACACTACATGATTGAGATATTGTAATTTGCAGCGTCTGCGAAGAGACCACTTGATTTAAGGATGGTGTTTGTAGGGTTTTCGTGTAATGAAGTGGCTGCAGTGGCGCCTCAATACTTATTTTTTATCTTGAGAAGTGAATGATGTAAAGGATTAAAGGGAGAGGCCGTTTTCTGGTTAATATTCGCTGCTTACAGCAGATCCTATGTCTAATTTGGAACTCTGGATAGGGGATGCCTAATTGGCTGGACTTTATACAGGGAGTGTTGTCCACATAAAGACTCTTTATAGTTGATTTCAAAGTTTGGACACCGTACAGTTGATTTTGGACCAATGGACTCTATATAGGGGTGAAGTCAATTGGCTGGATTCTATACAGGGAGTGATGTCTATCTAAACTTTGAGCTCACAGTTGATTCCAAGTTTGGACTCTGTACAG